AGCAGGAACCTTGTCCCCAAGACGAAAACCCTAAGGAGTGCATGCAGCATAAAGAGTGAATCCAGCAGGAACCTTTTCCCCAAGACGGGAACCCAAAGGATTGAATCCAGTGAAAGTCTGTTGCCTGACACGAAAACCCTAAGGAATGAATTCAGCAGAAACCTTTTGCCCAAGATGAGAACCCTAACGAGTAAATCCGAGGAGAATCTTTTGCGCAACAGGAAAACCCTGAACCCTGGAGCGGGCATGGGCACCGTAGCTTCATTTTTACAGCGACGAAAACCCTAAGGAGTGCATCCAGGAGGAACCTTTCAAGGCGAAAGCCTAGGGGGTGAATCCAGCAGGAACCTTTTCGCTAAGACGGGAACCCTAAGAATTAATCCAGTGAGAATCTGCGGCCGAACACGAAAACCCCAAGAAATGAATGCCCTGAGTGCGTCCTGGATGCGAAGAGCAGGGGCACCGTAGCTTCATGTTTACAGTACATAAGGGGCCCTGAGTGCGCCTTGGATGCAAAAGAGGCATGAGTGCGCCTTGGATGCGATGGCCTGGCCAACACAATACCACGTAGCGTTGCAAGACCACATGAGTGCGAGTGTTTCCGTAATATGACGTCATGCTGCGAGGGTACAAGGGCACACTACTCGGGAATACATGAAAGAAGCACCACTACCATTATAAACTAGCAGCGAAATGCAACAGAGAGCGATAGTGTAGACAGTTTTAAGAGTGTGGGCCTGGAGCACCGGTTCAGGAACTATCCAGGTGCCTGAACCTTACGTATACGTACGTGACATAAAAGCACATCATCTTCAGCATGTGGTGGAGTTCGGCAGAAGATGTAGTGCAGCCTATTCGCAGTGTACAGGTATGGACATGCTGCAGTATAGTAGCAGCGTGCGTTGTAGCAGTATCCATGGCCACCGTTTGCTGTAGTATATATTGTTCTCCTGTTGTTTTACGACTCTGGGACACCTTCTTTCTCTGAGGAAGCTGTTCGCCAAGAAAATCGGGGTGCTCAACTGGCTCGTCACCCTTTGCAACAAGGACGGTATCCGTACTTTTCTGAAGCCACAAAATGGTCTGTGAGCGTCAGAAACCGCACTCTTCGATAGTCAGGACCGGGCCAGTTTTTTTCTTAAGGTGAGGGGCCGGCTCACAGCTCGAAAGTTCGCAAAGAATGCCCCTTACAGCTGACGTCTCATCTTACAACCGTCACTTCCGAGTTGCATTGTTCATGTTGAGATGCGGCCTGAATACAACTGCGTCAAATGGGAAAGCAGAGTCGAAGGCATCTGCGAGACGCGCGTGGCAAGGCCCAGCGGAGTGAGTTTTAACTTGCACATACCTGCACTTAGTATTACGTATGTTGAAGCCCTCCTGAGCTCACCACGATACGCCCAACATCTCCCAAGAGTGAGAAAGCTTCAAGAAGCCCAAAGATCAGAAAGCGTTCATACCAGATTTCCACCCAATTCCAGAGCACGAGACCCTCAGCCCCTAAGAGCCCGTGGCCTTAGTCAAATGTTGTAAGCTCCGAAGCACCGAGCAGCAACACCTGAAGAGGTCTCGGAGGCTTAGGGTTTAGAGCTTTGCCCTGGTTTGCAGGACTGGAGGAACAAAAACACTGTCTCCACCAGAAACTGTGTTTCGATTTTGGGGCTAGGCCCCTCGGCGAGGCTTTGCATCTCAGATACACGGTTTAAGAGTGTCACCTGATCGCTGCTGGCTTCGGCATGATTTTGGAGGTAAGCCAGTGTCATGGCGTAGCGGTAGGATCTGCCAGTATTTGCCAATACCATCTGTGGCCTTGCTCTCACTGTCTGCACAAGTGCTTTGCTAATGGGCGTCTGCATCTGCAAACTCTGCAAGTTATAATCTGCAACTATGTTTCGCCCTCCCTGTAATGGTATTTCGCGAGTCATGACATCGCATGTCCAAGACTGACATAGCTGGTGCCTCTCGATATGCCACATGTACAAGGAAAGCGTGGCACGTACATACTACACGGTTGCATCATTCCACCATATTCCATCCATCAAGACATGCATCCACAGATTATGGTACCTGCACACTAGCATTACCAGACATGACTGCTGGGTGCATCACGGGCGGCCTTTAGTACGTCACATCATGCATACCGTACTGTTTTGGAGCATAGTCCCACCCTGCGGTTCTGTAGCAATGTTCTTTCAGGGGTTTACTTCGGTACCTGTGGTGTGATGAAGTATCAGTAGTTCGGCCGTTCGCACTGGCGGAATTTGCAGCACCCTACAACGTGATCTACAATATCTGTGCATGTGCTTGTGCGCATGTGTGTGTGTGTGTGTGCAGGTGTTAGAGTCCGTGTTGTTTGTTCGTGTCGGTCGGTGTGGGCTTGTATTTGAGCATGTACCTGTGCATGCCTCGCTGATGTGGATGTGTATGCATATTTACAGATGTACATAATACGCATTTGTGTATATATATATAGACAATATACCACCATATTGTCATAACGTGCATACATACATAAATAGACACAACTACATACATACAGCTACATACATACATACATACATACATACATACCATACCATACCATACCATACCATACCATCCCATGCCATACCATACCATACCATACCATACCATACCATACCATACCATACCATACCATACATACATACATACATACATACATACATACATACATATATGCGTACGTACATACGTACGTACATACATACCTA